TGGGGTGGGGGAGCGTGAGTCACCCAGAAAACCTTCCCCTCTTCCCACTGACTCAGCCCCCGCCTCCCTGAACACACACAGACACACAGTCAGAGGCAGACACAACTCCTCAGCCCACACACCGGCTCACCACCGGTCCCGCGGAATTTCCCCTCTCGTCTTCCCCCACGATGGCCCCTCCCCGTGCCGGGCAGCCCCGACGCGGCGCTTGCACCTGTTCCCCAGCCGCCGCCGGCTCGCGCTCCACTCTCACCTCCACTCTCGCTCTGGGTCAAGAATAACCCTCCCTGACTCCCGGTGTCCATACTAACCAAGGGAAGGGGACCACGGACAGGCACAAAGACTGACACCCACAGACTCCTCGGAGACAGGCGAGAGGTAGACGCACGCGGCCAGAGCCAGGCTGGGAGGCTGATATACTTCTGAGGCAGACATTCCAGCCTCTCCCGACCCGACCCACAACCTTGAGAGCCAGCGGCTCTGAAAGGGTTAATTCCGCTCCCGCCCAGGCCACACCCCCTCCATCCGGGCACTCCCGGCAAAGCCCAGCTCCGCCCCCTCCATCCGGGCCCTGGACTCGGGACTTTAACCGACCCCCTACATCCCCGCCCCCGCTGGAGCCCCAAGAGAGAAATACTCCATCAATCACACCCACTTAACTCTCTCTGGGCTTGAGCCGAGGAGCCCCTCCGCGCAGCGCCGCAGCCGCGCGGGACGCGTGGTAAGAGGCCTGAAGTGCGCACGCAAACTCACGTGACGGCCAGAGACAAGAGCCCACAAATAGTGTTTTACCGAGCCGACAATCAGCGGGCATGCTGCGCGCGCGCCGAGGTGGGGCGGTCCAGGACATTGGTCGCAACCCGCTCCCTGCCCGTTCTCAGCACGCCTGGTGGAAGCGAGGGGTTACAGGCTCGCTTCTTACCTGGGGGAGGGGGAGGCGGAGGGGAGGGCCGCCGGCTGAGCCTGGCCCACCTGGTCCCTGTGAGACTCACCTGTTCCCCGCACCTGCCGCAGCTCCCCTCAGCCCCCTTCCCAGTGGGCCTGCACTCCCCGGAGCACGTGCAGATGGTGCCCCACAGTGCAAAGGGCCTGTGAGGTCTCTTCCTCCTAAGCCCAGCCCAGAGTCTGGTTCAGGGACAAGGTGTTCGCTGCAGAGCTGCCCAGAACCATGTGAGGTGGGCTCTGTGTTGGGTGCTCATTTTAAATGGCTAGAACTTTCTGTGACAGGGCCTAGTTGTCGGGTCACCCTGGTGGGCCTGTGTGACACCCAAAAAGTTTGCTACTGGCTTGATTCAACCAACACCTGTTTGTACACCTAGCACCTGACCCAGGGCATGGAGCAGAACAGGTGAACACTCAAGCCACAAAAATTAGAGTCATCTGCCAGCTACGGGCTGTCCCAGGGGAAGGGGCTGTACTGGCTGCTCCCCGGGCAGGGGCGCTCCCCCTGCAGGGCTGGTGGAGCCAGCAGAGCCTTAGGTTCAGGCTCCAGTGGCCCCTCAGTCACCTCCTGCCAAGGCCTCTGGGATGAGATGACCTGCGGCTCCTCCACGCTCCTGAGCCCAGGCTTGGCAAGAACGCAGCCCGTTCCACACAGCCCCTCCTCAGACGCAGAGGTGAAAGGCCGTAGGCGGTCTGGGTTCCTGGAGGAACGTGGCCTCCCCTGTGGCCCTGTGCAGAGGGGTCACAGATGGGCCACATCCACACTGGGTCCGCCTGCCCAGTCCTTCATGCAGTTGCGCCATGTCTGGTGACAGGCACTCGTACCTCAGGCTGGACGACCACGCACCCTGCTTGGGCCGTCTATTCACAAAGTGCAGGGCAGTTGTTACCGTGCTAGATAAGCATCTAAAACGCCTGAGTGAATTCTGTGTATTAAACCACGGAGTGTCTGAGCGTGTTACCGAGGTTACACTAAAAGCCCTCCTGTGGTGACTGAGGCAGCCAGCATGGAGAACACAGCAGGCTGGAGGCTTTGGGTCTAGGGGTCCCCACAGAGGGGTGGGGGTCGTGGCTGGCAGGAAGTAGGACGGGCTCTGGCTCTGCCTTCTCCAGCCTCACTGTTCACGTGCAGCTCTGCCTCTGGCTGTGAGACTCACCTGACGAACCCTGTCGGCTTCCAGAACGATGCCCAGACCTGGGCACCTGGCACTAGACGCAGACATGCAGACACGCACAGACACAAAACATACCAGTGTGCCCACACTCGCACATGTATTCACACACACATTCCCAATGCATTCGTGGACACACACAGACTCATTCAACACATGCAGGAATGCACAGGAGCTTCCCTAACCTCTGCCTGGAATGTCCCCCCTTCGGGGACAAATCTGGGGGGAAAAGGAAGCTGTACTTCCTTGGACAGGGGACAGAGAGCTGGGCCGGGTCCAGGGGGGACCCGCAAGTTCTGCAGAGACCAGCTGAAATATGGTGTCATAATAAAAACCCCATTTAAAGTACTTCTTTTTTTTTTTATTGATTTCATTGAAAACAGAACAAGAAATGGTCAGAGCCAAAAGACTGCTCTTAAAACTGTCAAAAACATTTTAACAGAAAAAAATAAACATGACTGCATTATGAATGTTTAGAAGAGTTGCACAAAAAAAACCCCACTGTTACTGCACTAATTACAGTATTTAAAAAGGTATATGCCAAAAAAAAGTATATGACCTGCCAGGCCACCACACAAAAGGTGATGGCAAATTTATTCACACTACAAGACTAACATTTTTAAAAAAGTTTTTCCTGCATTTTATTCTAAAATCACTTTGTTCTCTTTATACAGTTGATAGTTTATTTCACGTGGTGAGTAGAAACCACACCAGAATCAGCACCGTTGTCTGTGTTTTGTTTTTTATTTTTTGTTTGTCCTAATGTTCAGTAATGGTAGAAAATAAATCAGTTTATTCATCATAGCATGTGGCTTAAAAAATCAACAGAAGGTGCCAGCGTCAACGGAACCGGCGGGGGCTGCACCCACCAAACCACTTCCTCGAAAAGAAACGTCAGTTAGAGGTTTGATATATAGGACTAGATATAGGATTCCTTTAAAAAGCAAACCCACATTTTCTCCAAAGTTAGTGGTGGGGTCGGTCTCCTGACTCTCCGAGACTGGCAGCAGACAGTGTCCTCCGGGCAGCCCCTGGGACCCGGCACCGGCCACGCAGGCCGCGGGCAGGGCGAACGGAGCAGCTCGCGCTAACGGTGGCCTCGGCGGCGCCACACACAACAGTCTGGGCCGGGCCGGAGAACAAACAACCCCGTGGTGCAGCGGGGACCTCGGAGGTCAGAGGAAGAAACGAGAAACTTCGCAACGACAAATCAGCATCAGAAACTCAGAAGGTGATGCCAGTGCGGACTCCCAGCGTCTTTGGGGGCGCCGGCCAAAGGGTGCGCTCCAGCCTGGGCACTGGGCAGGTGGCTGGGAGGCGTCCGCACCCGCCCGCAGGGGCTGCAGCCTCACCCCCGACCCCTCCAGGAAGCCGGCGGCGCAGCCCCGCAGGAGTCTCTCCTCCTCCTCCTCCTCTAAACGGCGACGCGGCGGACCCCGGCTCCCGAGCGCCCCGCTGGCCGGCGGCGTCTCATAGCGGGTCGGCGGCAGCCGCGGAGCTGGTGTCGGGCAGGCCGTCCTCCTGGGCCTCCTGGGCCGCGCTGGCCTGACGCTGGGCCAGGGCCGCGCTCGAGTGCCGGCACTTGGGGGAGCCGCAGCGGCAGCTGAAGAGCTTGCCTTTGATGTCCCAGAAGCGCTCTCCGTAGTCAAACCTGGGGAGGGAACAGAACCAAGGCTCCCAGTCGAATCCCACCGGCACCTCCCACAAGCCAGATAAAGGCAGGCAAGGCCAGAGCTTCCTCACCCCGACGTGCCGCGCCGCATCCCAGGCCGTAGTTTTTACAACTACAGGAAAACCCCGAGGATAAACCCGGGACAAGCCCAGGAAAGCAACGCAAGCCCCGTTCCTAAAACCGTCCCGCTGGCAGCGGAGATGGCCGGGGGCTGGGACGGTGCGTACCCGAGCTGTTCGCCGGCCTCGATCAGGCGGGTGCTGAAGAAGGCGATCCGGGGGAACCGCAGGTCCTGGTGGGCCATGAACACGCGCACGGGCACCAGGTTGGGCTCGCAGTGGTGGTTGATGAACCGGCTGACGTTCCCGTAGAACCGCGCGTCGATGCAGTAAACCTCCCCGTCCTGCAGGGCGAGAGAAGCCGGCACGCGCTGCAGCGAGCAGGGCCCCGCAAGCCGGCCTCGCCGGGTACGGCGGCCCCAGAGCCTGGGGTTGGGCGCAAGCCCGCCACGCAGGAGGGGCCTTCTCCAGTGATCCCTGGCGGCGGCGCGGAACCTCCGCTGGCCTTCCCGCTGTGTGGCCGCCCACCCCGCACCCTGCCCTCCCTGCTGGGCCGCTGTCTGCGGTGCGGTGGGGGTGGTGCAGGCCGTTCCCTTGACGGCGTCCCCATGGGGCTTCCAGCGACGGAACACGGACAGCACCGTCCCACCCAGTACCCATGGGGCTGTCTGGCACCAATAGGGGAAAGGAGGCCGGGGCTGCAAGAGCCCCGTGAGGCAGTAGCAGGGGCTGAGGGGGTCGGGAGGGATGGAGCTGGCGTCCGGGACGCACTGCCTCGGTGGCGAGGAGGCGGAACAGTCCCCGGAGGGTCTGGGGAGACTCAGTGGCGAATGGCACCGGGGAGGACCCTCAGGCGGAGGCTGCCCATAGAAAACGGCTTCTGCGGCAGCCCTTCCGGGAGCTGGTGTGGTTGTGGAACACGAGGCCGAAGCGACTGAGGCGTCCTCCTCACCCTGGTGCCTTGGAGAGAAGCCCAAGATTCCAGGTGGCCGCATGGTCCTGGCCCCTGACACTGACCTGCGATGATGGATTCTCAATTGACTGTAGAGAGGGGGATGAGGTGGGTGGGCCTGACCTAACCACGCAACCCTTTTAAAAGCAGCTGTCTCTGGAGACCCAGGGCGTGGAGCTGCTGGCGCGGGGCGCGGGGCTGCGTGGGAGGAAGGTGGGTGGTCCCGGCCAGCAGCTAGCAAGGAACCTGGACGCTGCCCACGCGACCACAGGGACCTGGGCTCAGCAGCACCCCGCCTGTGCAGCCCAAGGCCCGGCACGCTCAACCCCTGCTGCGCACACTGGGCCGAGTGGGCGGGCGCCGTGGCGAGCCGCGGGTGGGTGGCGTGGTTTGTTACCCAGCGACGGGAAGAGGCACCACCACAGACGACAGCCAGGCAGACGGGGAAGGAGGCACCTGGGGCTTCCCAGGACCAAGTTCCGAGAGGGAGGAGCCTGCAGGCAGACACCTGGTCCACAACCTGCCCCAAAATGAGTATCAACCAGAGAACCAGAGACGCTCAGAGATCAAGACGTTAAAACCCAAACCAGCAAGCGGGTGGAGGCGTGGACGAGGGCAGATCTCCAACAACCTTCGCGGCGCGGGCAGTGACAAGACGGTAAACCAGGCGAGCACGGCCGCGGGACTGGACCAGCCACAGCCCCCAAAGCCAAAGGCATGGGAAGCCGCCTCCCGGTTTACCCCAAAGAAACAGAGCTCAGAGTGGCTCACATGGCGTGGACTTTGGCCTCTGCTTCAGGGTCTGATGGGCTAAGAATCTATAGGCGACCCCTCCCTGTGCAAAAAGCACCTCTGAAACTAGTAACAGCGCACACATGAAAGTCCCGGACAGTAGCAAGATGGAAACTGAGGGGCTCTCGACTGGAGGGGCCAGGCCCGGCTCTGCCCAGGCTTTCACCAGAGGTGGCCCGTCTGGCAGAGCACACAGCGCTGCCCCGTGGGGAAGAACCTGCAGGTGCTTCGGAGGCGGGTGGGGTTTCAAAGTCTGTGTACACAAATCTCTGCCCAACCAGGACCCCATAAAGACAGCAACCCCAGCAAAGCCGCACGACCGGAGTAAGGCAGACAGGCCACGTGGGAGGCGGGGCCTGCGGAGGGAGCCCAGCCGATCCTAGGACTGGAGGGAAGGCACAGGGGCCACGTG